CAGGAGTTTTACGATCAGGAATTCCACCGCAGGGCAAAACGTCTAAGAAATTAGACCAAAGGTTTTTAATAGATAATAGGGGCTTTAATCAAGTGTTAGAAACACTCCTTGTTGAATATGTATATAAATTAAGTTGTTTGTACCTTTCTTTGGTTTATTCAGGTGTAAGCTTTACATCTATTGCTGAACACTTCCCCTGGAGCTGTACAGATCTTTGGTGCCATGATAGTGTAAGTTTGGGCTCATTTTAAACAGCATAAAGTACAAATTTAGTATCACATTTTAAATATGTTTAATTTCTGTTCATTTTTCTGTGCAGCAGGTACACCTGAGTGACTCAGAAGGAATGCCACTTCTTGCAGAATTGATTAAGTGTACATATTAGTTTTTTGAGAGGTCAATACTGTTGCCTCCAGTGCAAAGCCAGGTGTCTCGTCCATACATTCCAAGATTCGTGCCTCGTAAGGGGGTGAAGGGTTTGGAACATCTGTGCCAACCTCCTTAGTGGAAAACTAAAGCAAATTAGATTACAAACTGTCCAAACCAGTCAGGCTAAGTTTAACACAAAACAACCCAAAAGGAGCACCAAACCTCCCAAACACAAGCTTCTAGCTTGAAGTCCACCTAAAGCAGATTCAGAAAAGAAAAAAAATATATACAAGCTAGGTCAAAAAGTTCTAACTGCCCAAAACAGTGGTTAGCTGGCTCGCTCATGGCGCTTTCATCTTCGTGGTTGGCACCTCATGCTTATCATTGTAGGCGTTTATGCTGCCTTCTAGCATCGCGGCAGGAATTTTATGCTGCCTTCTAGCATCGCGGTGGGCGCTCCATGGCTCCCATTGCAGCAGACGCATCCCACTATTATCCATTACCGCATCGCTTTTTTTTTTTTTTCCATTCACAGCAGTGCATTATGGCCCCCAGCTCTTTGCCTCAGGCAAATCTAACCCAAACCTTTCCATGCGTTCGCATCACAAGGCGCTTTGCTTCGAACCCCTTAGCATTAGGGCTGTAACGATACCCCTATGGAAATCAAAATTGCGACAATCTGAGCAATGATCCTGTCTCGCGGTGGAGGAAGGCGGGATCGCAACACCCACCAAATATTCCCAGCTGTCGGCCGACTTACAACTGCCTGCCACAGACATGCTGAGAGGCGTTCAAAACTTCCTCAGATCAAAAAGCCATTAGGATTATTTCCTATAATAAAGAAAACACGGGGAGCTACAGATCCCTTTTGACATTTATAATGAAATAACACAAACATAAAATTTCTTCCTTTGTCTTTATGTTGTGCACACCGGATTAGTGTAGACGGTACATTGCTTACAAGATCACCATAATTTAAAAATGTGGAATCACATTCTTAACTCACTTTTACTCATTGTGTAAAAAAGGATTCCAATGACAAAATGATGAACCATTAGAAATCCTGTCAGAGAGGATGCACAGTGTAGGCTACAAAAAAAAAAAAATCACCAGCCACTAGTGCTAGCATGAAGTTTATGGGTAGCAGCACCTGTGTTTACTAAACTAACTTTACTATGGGACATTAACCAACATATATTTTTATTGGGGTTATGTTATTTTATCATATTCATCAAGGGGTTGGTTGGTTTATCCTATCATCATTACTAGACATCCCAAGTTCCAAAAACTAATTTCAGCGAGATACTTATACCCCAACCGCCCGCCCCCCGGGGACAACGGACCCACACCGTGCCCCATACATACACACTTAAGGCCAGCAACTTTTCAACAACTGTTTAACAGTAATTTCTTAAACACTAAACGGAACAGTATTGGTCTTTTATTTTTAATACTTTCAATCTTGTAGCCTTGAACATCGGTTGAGCTTTATGTTTTTCATGGGACTTCATTATACAGTGCACCTCGCCACGGTGTCATCATTCCTCACCATGGCCGGTTCTAGACGGGTGCCAAGAAATTCTAATGATGATATGCGCTTGAACAGACAGGGTTACTGATAGGTCCTTCGGAACTACTTCATTCTTTTTCTTTACAAATTCTGTTTTACTAATTATTCAAAAACAATAAGGTGATAGATTCAGTGGGATTGAGATAAGATCCCAATTTTCATCTGTCAAATGTTTTTTTTTTTTCCACAAATAAAAAATGCTCTAATTTTTACAGATGAATTTAACATCTCTCTTTTAGAAATTTAGTTTTAACTTAAGTAAAAAAAATATGTAAAATTCCTAAATTTTAAATGTATATTTACCTCATAAGAAATAGAATTTTTATTGAATCTCATTGAAAAGAAATTTTCCTTCATGCAGCTATATTAACATATTTGAATCCCTTGCCCCGTTTTTTTATTTCATGCTTTTCTGGGCCCCCATGAAAACATGCTGGCCCCCTCCTGGCCCCCTGGTACATTTGGTCTAGATCCGCCACGGTTCCTCGCCTTAACTTGACGAGGATATACTTTAGTATATTCTGCTGTAAAATTAGTCTGATATTTTCATGTTTTACTCGAGGATTGAACCTCTGCCATTTCCCAGGATGCACAGCTTTGGGTGGTAACTAGGTGACTGCCAGAGAGTAACCCAGAGAAACTTAGACTGATCCAATCATCTCTCTGTTCAACCAGTCGCCTGCAACGCTGGTTGATCAGAGCATCGCTTTGGACAGATACACTGCACAGGTTTTACAGCAACCTCCTCCCCACACCCCGCCCTCTCTTGTTCCTGGGCAATCGCAGTAGTTCTAATCCACACATGATGCATGAATCATTGCATTGCCCACTCGCTCTCACTCGCGTTAAAAAAACACCACCTCACAAAGTCTAAAATCCAGGATAATTTATCTGACTCGCAGGCATCCGTGAACAACTATTGATATCAGGGAGGTTTCCGGAACTTCAGGGAGACTTGGGATGTCTGCATTACATAGATTGGGGCTCTGAAAACTGTCCGGCTTACCGTTGGTTCTACTACTGCAGCAGCAGCCGCACTGACATGCTCACTGCTCGGTTTGCCGTCGCCTCCACTACAACCACCACCACCACCATCATATTTTACATCAGACACTGGAGCAGATGAAGGGCCTGCTGTTGGGAACATGTCAGTCAGTTTGACACATTTCGCAGCGTCCGTTTGAAGAACTAATTTCTTTTTTTCGCGCAGTTTCTCTGCGCCTCTCTTGCGTTGATCCATTACTACTGTGAACCCCGCCGCACAAAGTTACAATGGAGAGTTAAGGTGTTTTTCTACCTTATGATTGGCCTAGCCCTTTAGACTGTCAGGGATGATAACCAATGGGCTGCAGTAGCCTGTGGTAAGGGCCGGATGATCGGAACAATGCCCGGTACGCCCAATTACCAGTCCATGCCTGCCTCCAACCACATTTAAGTCAGCAGTATGGCAGTATTTTGGCTACCCGGTTGAAACTAAGGATGGAAATCGTGTTGTTGACAAGAAGCACACCATTTGCCATAAGTGTTTTAGAAAGATACCTCAAGTGACGGGCAACACAACAAATATGCAAACGCACATCAGACGGAACCATCCTGAAATTAACTTAAGTGGAGCCAAGAAACCCCAACAACAGCAGACTACTCTGACAAATTTGTTTCAAACAAAGTTTCCACCAAATTCGGACCGTGCACAGAAGATAACCAGGGCAATTTGAACGTTTATAGCTCTGGATATGCGGCCCTTTTCGGTGGCCGAGAATGAGGGATTCATAAATTTACTTCATGTGCTCGAGCCTCATTATGAAGCGCCTAGTCGGGCACATTTCTCTCAAAATGTGCTTCAAAAACAAACAACGTTTGACAGCCATACAAGTGACAATTTATCTGAAATCCTGAAAGGCGCTGTGGCAGAATGGAGAATCAGCAGACCATACGCCCCCGTTCCCGTAACAACTGAAAATGCAAGAAACATCGCAAATGCGGTCATAGCAGCCGGACTCTCCCCGCATATTCGATGCTGCGCCCGCACCATAAATCTGGCAGCGCAGAAAGGAATGGGAGTTAACCAGATGTCACGACTCCTTGATAGAGTCAGGAAAATAGTAACTTTTTTCCACCGGAGCGCAGCAGCTGCAGCTCTATTGAAGGATAAGCAGAAAATGCTGCAGCTGCCCTCACACAAGCTTGTCCAGGATGTGGCTACAAGATGGAACCCGAGCCATGATATGCTTGAGCGCTACCTAGAGCAGCAGGCTGTTTTCTCAGCACTCACAGACAAGAGTGTGAAGAAAAACATAAAAGACATTGTCACTTTGTCTGATATTGATGTTAAACTTGGCGGGGATGTGGTCCAGCTGCTGAAACCCCTCAAAACAGTCACTCTCCTCATGAGCACTGATCAGATGCCAACAATTTCAATGGTCATGCCATTGAAACACAGAATCCTGGCCTCCATGAAGCACAGCAGCTCTGAGTCAGAAACAGTTAAAGAAACTAAATCTGCCATTGCCACTGATTTTGAAGATCCCTACTCTGATGCTGATCGGGCTCTGATCGAGTTTCTCCATGTAAGCACTGCACTTGACCCCCGGTTCAAATCCCTACCGTTTCTGGAGGAGGCCACCAATGCCGCAGTTTTCAGGAGTCTGACTGAGAGGATTCTGGATAACTGTTCACATCCTGTTCAGGTATTTCACTGTTAATATCAATATAAAATTAATTTAAAATTAAATTGTGTGGTTCAAAAGTCCTTTTAAATAATCTAAGCCCATTTAAATAGGCTAAAGTCAGCATTTGTACATATTCATATGAAAAAATGTTTTATTTTATTAAACTGACCATGCTTACACTGTAAATGTACCTAGATTTGATGTTTCATATGTTACTTTAAATATATATTCATTTGATCTAATATTGTGTTTTGAATTTTGTTTCAGGCCCAGACTTCCAGGGAGGAGACAGATAAGGAGATTGCCTCCAGCAGCAGTGCCAGTGATGGTCCTCCTCGAGCCAAAAAAGCACCGATCGCGGAACTGTTAGAGACCTATTTCCAACAACATCATCATCCAAGCCTTTTCCTCAGGTGGTGGAAGAAGAGGTACAACACTACAAATCTGTGCAGAGCCTCCCAGTGGAGTCTAATCCACTTGTGTGATGGAAGGAGAATGAACAACAGTTTCCCCACTTAGCCAAGTTGGCCGAACGTTTTCTGGGGATCCCAGCCACACCTGTTCCCAGTAAGATGGTGTTTTCCTCTGTAGGGGACTTTGTAACAGCACAGAGTGAAAGACACCAAAGTGGACATTATGCTGTTGTTCCTAAAAAAAAATAATATTTATATAGTTTTAAATAAACCAAACAGGTTTGATAAAGCTGTGTTTATTTACTTTTTAAGTTTTAAGTTCTTTTGGAGGGCAAAGAACACAGAGTACAACCTCTGTCTTTTTTTTTTGCCTGAAACAGTATCAGACGGGGAAGTATGTTCCATGTTGGAGAGGTTCCTGAAGAGGAAGTGAAGTGCTTAATTTATTGATTTCATTTATTTATTTTGCATAAACGTTTGCGTTTGTGGTTCATTGCTGATAAACCCTGTGTTTTTGAAGCTTTCGTTTTTCCCCCAGAGTTTTAACGTTTATTGATTTCTTAATAGTTTATCATTGAGGAGTGTCTTCAGTGTTTTCCATTTTAAACATTACCATATGTTCTTCATACGTTTGTATTTACTTGAGTTTTGATTATGTTTAATTGTGAAAGTATGTTTTATTTTGTTTAAGATTATGGCACACACTTCAAAGTTTCCCAAGTTTGTGTATGTAGAAATGGAGTCTATGAAACAAGTATTGTCAGGTTGCTTGTGGAAGTTATTTTGCTTTGTAGTGTATTTGTGTATGGTTAAAGTTGATATTATTTGCAAATATTTTATTATTGTAATAGTTAATTTTTTTTTTTGTTTGTTTTGTTTATAACTGTTACACCTCAAGGTCTAGGGGTTCTGGGGAAGTAACATAAAAATGTGTCCAGAGCAAATAAGTGGAATGTAAAAGGATTTATTACAAAAGATGGTTAAACAGACACAAAACAAATTACAGCTTAACCCAATTAAAACAAAAGAAAGGGGCAAAAACATTCAAGAATGGTTAAGAGCAAATTAGATTACAAACTGTCCAAACCAGTCAGACTAAGTTTAACACAAAACAACACAAAAGAAAAGACAAAGGGAGCACCAATCCTCCCAAACACAAGCGTCTAGCTTGAACAAGTCCACCTAAAGCAGATTCATAAAAAATATACAAGCTAGGTCAAAGAGCTCTAATTGCCCAAAACAGTTTGAAACCAAAGTTGGGGGAACAGCAAAACAAAACCTTCTTCCTACTAGTTCTCCCCGAACTGAAAGCTTTTCCAGGAGCCTTTTATAAGGTGCAGGTGGGCCTCATCAACATCCTGATTGGCTTGACAATCGTCTGCTGGTCCAATCATGGCACTGCTCCTTTGCAGCCTTAAGGCAGCCAACATGATTTCTGTCAGAGCTGAACATGCATAACACAACAAGCCTGCACAGTGTATATATATATATATATATATATATATATTTTTTTTTTTATTTTTTTATTTTCAAGTATCTTTGAAAGAGCCCAACAGATTTTACTTTCACAAGAGGAGCAGCAATGTAGGACAGGAAAGGAAAAACAGCAAAAAGTAGAAAAGATGAAGGAAAGAGGAAATAAAAGGGAGATAATGATAAAACATTTTCATCGACTTCATCATCTGCAATGAGATGTAAAAAGAACAGCACAACCAACGGATATGGTACTAGACATACAATAAAGTAACACCTAGATACTATCGCTGAAGTAGTATTATTTAATCTGACATGTACTCTGTGTTACCTGAAGACAAGAATATGGGCTCTCTGTATGGAAGTGATGGGTATGCAGATGCTGTCTCAAGATTAATCAACAACAGATCTCTATACTGATTGATGCTGAGTTTATCCTTACTTTTCCAATTCATTAAGATAGTTTTCTTTGTGATACATAATGCAGTGAAGGCCATGCAAACAGATTTTTTCCCCAGAGAGGTTCCCTTAAAGTCACCCAGCAAGCAAATTGAAGGGGAAAATGAGATTTTACAACACAGGCACAGTGATAAGTCCTTACATACCTGTACCCAGAACCGCTGAACCGGCGTGCATAACCATGACATGAATATAATGAATATAATTATCAAGATGACTGCCTGTGCACTGTGGACAGATTAGATTGTGCAAAACCCATCTTGAATAATCTTTGACCTGTATAGTGAACTCTGTGGAGGATTGTGTATTGTATTAGTTGTAAATTGAGGTTTCTAGTCATGTTAAAAGATCTTAGACATATCTAAGCCCAGATGTTTTGTTCAAAGCTGAGTGATAAATCCTCCTCCCATTTAGTAATAGGAAGAGATATTGTATGCTCCAGTTTAGTCAGTGTCCTGTATAATTTAGAAAGTAGTTTGGGGGGTTTAACTCTAGGAATTCTGATACAGTGGTGGAAATAAGTATTTGACCCCTTGCTGATTTAGCAGGTTTGCCCACTTACAAAGAATGCAACGATCTATAATTTTAATCATATGTACATTGTAACAGTGACAGACAGAATCCCAAAGAAAATTCCAGAAAATCACATCATATGAATTTATCAAAATTGATAACCATCTGATGAGGAAAAACTATTTGACCCCCTGGACTATAATATTTGACCCCCTGGACAAATTCCGAGGTTGTCGCCTGGCAACTCGAATTTTAAGCTCCCTCCAAAGATTTTCAATTGGATTCAGGTCTGCAGATTGGCTAGGCCACTCCAGAACCTTGATGTGCTTCTTTTTCAGCCACTCTTTTGTTGCTTTGGCGGTGTGCTTAGGGTCGTTGTCGTGCTGAAACACCCATCCTCAACCCATCTTTAGCTCTCACTGAGGGAAGGAAATGTCTGTCCAGAATTCCACGATACATGGCCCCGTCCATCCTCCCCTCAATACGACAGAGTTGTCCCGTCCCCTTGGCTGAAAAGCACCCCCAAAGCATGATGTTGCCACCACCATGCTTGACGGTGGGGATGGTGTTCTTTGGGTTGTACTCGGTGTTCTTTGCCCTCCAAACACGACGAGTTGAGTTGAGGCCAAAAAGTTCTATTTCGGTCTCATCTGACCACATCACCTTCTTCCAGGCCTCTTCTAAGTCGTCCAGGTGGTGAATGGCAAACTTCATGCGGGCCTGTACAGGGGGACCTTGCATGCGCTGCAGGATTTCAATCCATGACCACATAGTGTGTTACCAACCATTTCTTTTGTAACTGTGGTCCCAGCTGCCTTCAGTTGATTCATTAGTTCCCCCCTTGTGGTTTTGGGATGATTCCTCACCGTTCGCATGATCAGAGACACCCCACAAGGCGAGATCTCGTGTGGAGGCCCAGACCTAGGGAGGTTGGCGGTGGTGTGGTGTTTCTTCCATTTCCTGATAACTGCACCGACAGTTGATCTTTTCTCTCCAAGTTGCTTTCCGATTCTCTTGTAGCCCATCCCAGCCTTGTGCATATCAACGATCTTGTCCCTGATGTCCGTAGAAAGCTCTTTGGTCTTGCCCATGGTGGTGATGTTGGATGCTGGTTGTTTGGGTGTTGACAGGTGTCTTTTATACAGGTAATGAGGTGAGGCAGGTGTATTTGATGTAGATAATTGGTTGGGATTGGTGCTGTGTCTTAAAGAAAGACTAACTGGCTTGTAGGAGCCAGAATAGTTGCTGTTTGGTAGGGGGTCATATACTTGTTTTTCCTCATCAGATGGTTATCAATTTTCATAAATTTATATGATGTAAATTTCTGGAATTTTCTTTGGGATTCTGTTTGTCACTGTTACAATGTACATATGATTAAAATTATAGATCGTTGCATTCTTTGTAAGTGGGCAAGCCTTCAAAATTAGCAAGGGGTCAAATACTTATTTCCCCCACTGTATATTAGTTGGAATTTGTAAACCTGCATCAATATGCTTAAATTTATTTCTAATTATAGCTTTAATTGGCTCATATTCTAAGAATGTATTCATGTTAATATTATGTCCATATTGCAAATTTATAGGATGAATTACAGCATCCGAGATGTCAAACAGCAGTGAGCTGCTGATTAAGAAATAGCCGAAACGAGAGTAGGAACGATGAACATCAGAAAAGAAAGTGTATTCCTTACTGTTAGGATGAAGAGATTCCCATGCATCTCAAAGACCACAATCACTCATGTATTGTTTGACTACATTTAATAATTGCCAACTGCGCTGAGTCTCTGTTGTATTCAACCTGTCTATTTCTCCATTTAGACCAAAATTGAGGTCACCCCCAATAATTAGAGAACAGTCCTCGTGCTTTGAAAGTGCATGAAAAAGTTTGTGGAAGATTGAGGGGTCGTCAGCATTTGGACGATATATGCCGACAATACATAACGTTTGGTTATGAATAGATATTTTAATCATGCTGAATCTGCCTTCAGGATCAATAATTTTGTCTAATAAAGTAAAA